AAATTCTGCTTCATATTTCATTTCTTTTCTTTTAACTGCACCTTTACATAGATATTAACTTACAGTCACATGCATTTCCTCACCCTATCAATACTGAGTATTTTTGACTACCACTTCACATTGCACACAAAAATTTACATAGCCTAGAGCCTATATATATATAATTTATTTCCTAAACAGTATTGATTAATTGATTATATTATCTCCTAAGTTTAATTAAAGTAGAATTATTTTAAAAGTGTACATCCATACTGGTAAGTTATATTTTGAAAGATGTTTTCAAGTAATTTGAAAGCAAAATGTTAATAATGTTTTAACGGGGACTGGAGTTAAATCATCACGAAGAATAATATTACAATTGTAAAAGGAAAAATTAAAACATGTAATTATTGTCATTGATCGGAAATTAGTTGACTTTTCAAGGGGAACAAACCAACTCCCGTTCAATGAACAATAATTGATAAAAATACGTAAATATGAATAATAAATTTACAGATTTTATTAAGTTGAATTGAAAAATATTAATAAAATCTGTAAATTTATTTTAAATGATTGTAACACTAATCATAACTATTGCTGGATCATTCATAATAACACTCCTGTCATTAATACCATTCATACCATTAACATCCAAAACATTAACTGCTATGATTTTGAAAACTTATATACCTCACTTCCTCTAGAAGAAATCTATACCAGTCTACTTGATCTACCAAAACTTTTCCCTAATATACTCAATATCATGACTCTTGACAAATGGAAAATCTACCTAAAATGCACACTTTTTCATAACTACATCAAGTTTCAAATCAACTTTTTAAAAACAAGTCAGAGGATTGCCAATGGGCTTACATTCCAGCACCTCGATCTGTAATATCTTTTTATTTGTCAAAGAATTTAACTTCCAAAAAAATCTACAACCACAAGAGTTAAATTACTACAAACACACCTACAGATATATTGATGACCTTATTACAATTAATAATTTTGGTAAAATTGAAAACTCCGACATTTATCCGAATTGTCTTAAACTTAATAAAACTAATAATTCACAAAATAGCATAGACTTTCTAGATCTTCAAATCATTAACTACAAAAAAATTTTACTTTTGACAAAACAAGAAACTTCAATTTCAATACTAACAAATTAATAAATTGGAACTCCAACATATCCAAAAAAGTAATTAACAATACTATAATTAATCAAATACAACGAATTAAAACTATATGCACAGATACAATAGATTTACAACGCGAAATTTTGATCCTTATCAAAATTCTCAAAAATAATCTAATTCCCTTTCAATTTATCAACCATTGCCTTAAAAGAGCAGGTGTTAAATACTCACTCTAAATCATTTAACTGATAGGGATATGATAATTTATTCCTAAACCTGAGAAGGCGGTATAAGTTGGATGACTGTCAGTTGAAAGATTTGTATATAGTGTAATTACTCAATTGTATATATTGTAAAAAGCTAATTGTCTTCAGACATATACTGTTACTATACTGTTACTAAAAAATGGGCCTATTTCCTGCCTTTAGACTGTCTACTAGCTCTTGGACAGCGAAAATTCCTTTTTCCTTTCTTAAATTCTTAATCATTGCGACACGACAATTAGCCAGAAATTAATTAATTTCCATTCACTAGTATTTTCGAAAAAATCTTAACAGACGGTCTCTCTCAGATAAGAACTCCACAAAATACATCCCTCAAGAATTCCAAGTCCCACCCACTACCATAAATTACTTCACCCAAGTCTTACCGACTGATATTATTCAAAGCCCCTACTGCCGCTAAGAATTTTCGGACACCCTACACTTCTGAGTCAGACACGAAAAGAACACTTTGCCAACTCCCCCACTAGAAAGAATGTAAGTTACTTAATACCTTTCTGGCCTTTATATCTTCATGTACATTCACTGATCTTATTTATATTATTTTCTATATTATTTTTATATTATTTTTATGTTTTCTTTGATTTGTTTTTACAAAGTTTGCATTATTTATCTTTTTTATAATCTTCTATGTTTATTTCAACTTTACTTTGATTTCGATTTCATAATGACAATTTCCAATGTTTAATTTCTACAAATAATATAGTACTCAAATACATAAAGATGATAGTGTCGGGGACGGTTACTCGAGTTTACAGGATTTCTCTACAGTAATTGATTTTTACTCCAAATTGAATTGACTAAAATGCTTCATGAGAATAAGTTCTTTGAGTAGCAACTATTCGCGGAAATATTTGGCCTGACTAGAATTGCCGGTTTGGCTTTAACTTATAACTCGAGTAAAGACGAAACACTTTCATATTTACATATTTTTATCAATTATTGTTCATTGAACGGGAATTGGTTTGTTCCCCTTGAAAAGTCAACTAATTTCCGATCAATGACAATAATTACATGTTTTAATTTTTCCTTTTACAATTGTAATATTATTCTTCGTGATGATTTAACTCCAGTCCCCGTTAAAACATTATTAACATTTTGCTTTCAAATTACTTGAAAACATCTTTCAAAATATAACTTACCAGTATGGATGTACACTTTTAAAATAATTCTACTTTAATTAAACTTAGGAGATAATATAATCAATTAATCAATACTGTTTAGGAAATAAATTATTATTAACTAACTTTGCAGCAATTGCGCAAGTAATAATAACTTGTATTCGCACTAAATGGATTTAAGTTTATACAACATTATATATATATATATATATATTTACTTACACCAAATCTACCATTACGGTTCCATCCATAAAAATCTTCCTTAATTGGTATATCTTTAAAATGCTAGTAATAACAACTAATCACAGCTTCCTGAAACTAGCATACATAAAAAGAATTAAAGCAAAGTTACATGGGGATAGGGCTGTTTGCTCAGGAGCCCAAGAATTGAACTTGTTTGTTCAGCATGGAGATAGCATATCACACAAAGATAATTCCTTTAAAAATAAATTAAAAAATTATGAGGTGATTGCATGCAGCAACAAATTAATAATTATCAAATTAAGGGGCAATTTATATATTAATATAATACTTATACTTTACACACAACCACTTCAAAAAATACTGGATCATTGCAAGTGATATCAAGGAAAGAAATATGTTTTATTTGCCCGACAGATTTATATCTATATATTTTGACAATGTATTACTAGAAAATAAAAAAATACATTATTTCATATAATTTGTGAATGTTTCATCATAATTATTTTAAAGTCAAGATATTTTTAAGATGTAACAACACGCTTAACATCTGTGTTTCATTTGATGTAACCTCAGATGATTTTCGATAAGCCACCTTTTGGTTTCATGAAAAAGGATATAAACTCTATTACTGCTGTGTTTTCCTCTTGCATTTTGAAAAAAAATTATTAAAAATAGGGACCTGCCTTCTACAGAACAGCAAGTGGTAGACTATTTTCAAAGCTATGGGATCCTATCATCCAAAAAAAAATGTGCTTTAATGGACACAATATGGTCAGCTTAAAAATAGCTGAAAAAACAGTGACAGACTGGAATAATTTTCTACAGATCGCTTTTGGTAAAACTGGAAGGCTTAACAAAATAGTTTAAGTCATCAAAAGCTTTTTTACAAAGCATAAGAACATAAACGGTCAACTACTGGTTGTTTATTAAATAAAGAGGTGGCAGTTACTTCAGAGTTTTACAACACTGATTGGCGCAAATATGCTGGAATTTCCACCAACGTTCATGGTTCAGCTGTAGCACACTTTCACAGTTAACAGGATAATATACAAGCACCAAATTTTTTGTTTAATTTTATTGATGTTTACTATATAAATTTTGAAGTAAAATGTAATAGAAGCTTAGAAAAATAAAAGAATTTTGACTTTAAAGTTCTTCATACTTTCAAAACAGCACATCTACATAAAATAATGTTATCAAAGAAACCAACACTGAACATCAACATATGCATACACTAAAGATTTGAACTATAGTATTAGGAATGTATAATTAATTTGTATTGAGCATATGTACTCAGTCATCACAGAATATTTAGTTATTTCTAAAATAGTTATCTTTGTAAATAAAATGCATAATTACATAATTATGTAAATAAATTACATAATTCTAAAGACATATTATACAAGAGGAATAAAGGTTATTTGCTATTATTTTCTCATTGCATTTCACACTAAATGATTATGAACTATACTCCGTAATTAAAAAATAAAGGGAAGCAAACTAAATAGTTTATATATAACATATATGCGATCATTGATAAAATGAGAGGATAAATAACTGTGCAAATAAAATAAAGAGTTACAAAGAGTTCATGTAAAAATAATGGATTACGTTTAGTTAAATTTTAAGAATGAAACATTATCTAAACCCATAAAGAGGAAATGGCTGAGGCATCACCTAAAACTATAGAAAGGAAGTACGACAATCTAAAGAACGCCTTAATACATAGGTTATTTTTTTTAAGTAAAAGCCATTTGTAAATACCATTTGAAATTTCACACATGCATGAGAATGTGTGTATGTGCAGATTCTTGGCATTCTTTGCACAGAATCCAACATCATTTTCATTTATGGCATCAGTTTCTATACTTTGCAAAGTAAGTTTAAAAAGTTAAGAAAATACAGCTGCTTGTTGACACTGGAATATGGTCAGCTATCTGGTTCTGAACAAGAAAACAGAACATGTAGTTATTTTTTGCTAGAATTGTATAAAGTGTGAATGAAAAGGAATGGCAATAAAGTGCGAAAATGAATGAGACTGTTCAAAAAAGATCAAGAAAATGTCCAGAGCAAATTATGCTCTGGTTAGCCATCTACAAGTACTGATGATTTGGTACAGGCAGTCGACACCCAAATTCAAGCAAACAGGAGATTTAAACATGAAGAATTGAAATTCATGATAGGAAAGTGAAAATGACTGTGAACAACTACTATCATCACCAGAAAAAGGATAATAACCCTGGTGCAGAAATCATATGAAACATTTTACAACCTACCGCTTCTGTCGTTAATACAGTAGCCAAATTCTCCTTCTTCTTTAACTGTATATCAAACATTCTTCTTAAAACTGCAGATCTTTCCTAAAAAGAAGCATATATTTATACAAATACCCTTAATATATAAAAAGAAATATTTATATTGATAAATGACAAACATATTGATATACTTTTGGCAGCCAAATATTTAGAAAAATGCTATTTCTTTTCCAAAGTACTAAAATCCATGTCATTTTTATTATCCTATAAGAATGAATTTAAAATTAACATTACACAAATACACAACTAACTGTTTAAAAAAATCATTGCTAGAAAGTATCTGAAAGAAAGTAATTAAATGAACAATTTCTATTCAAATATGCAAATACACACATGCATTTTTTATACTAACAGCTTCGATGCCAGCCTTCGTCTGGCTTTGAAATGTACCGGAAAAATGGCTGAAGGAAACACCAAACGTTAAATTTAAAAACTGCGCAGAATTTTACTCTGCAGAACAACTTCATAAAAAAAAAAAAGCTATTACGTATAACAAAGTTACAATGAAATAAGCAATATCCCTTAATACAAATATCAATTATCCTAATAAATAAATTAACCAACTTCCCTTTGCAAAATCTTAAGAACTCAAATAGTATGAAGGTTGTTAAGAACTTTGTTTCCTTAAAAAATCAGTCAAAACTTTTCAATATCTTAAAAACTGTGAAATGAGCAATAAATAACATAAAAGAATACAAAAAACAAAAACTTCTGAAAAGCAAAGTATAATAAATGATATTTTATCTTATATTTTCAAGAGAAAAAAATTACAATGAAATAAGCTATATCTCTTAATACAAATATTAATTATCCTAATAAAAAAATTAACCAACTTTCCGTTGAAGAAAAAAAAATCATGCAAAACTTTTCAATATCTTACAAACAGTGAAATAAGCAAAAAATAACATGAAAGCAACTCAAAAACCATAAAATGCCACGCAGAATTTCACTCTGCAGAACAACTTTCTCAAAAAAATCAATAAAAATGCATTATATATATATATATAATTATATATATTAAATGACAATGAAATATGCCAATCTCTTGAAAAGAATAACCTAAAAAATACGATGAAAAATTGTTGCCAAACCCATATTTCTAAAAAAATGAAACTATTCAAAATGATGCGATTTCATCAAAAATCTATCAACAACAATAAGACTGTTGCCAAAATCACATTTTTAAGGATGTAAGATGTGAAAAGTATACTCAGAAGCTTCATTTAAAAAATTCTTTAAAAATACAAAATATGGAAGTTCAGTTTAACACATTTGCTGCCATCTACAAGAATACTCATAGTTAGCAAACTGAGTTTACTTGCCATCTACAAGATAATTCATTACTGATCACCTTACTAAATCACCGAATACAAATATTACCATAGGAAATGCATACAATGTTTAGGTGCTTGTTGTACAGGAAGGGACTAAATAATACACTTTGCATACTCTAACGATTATTTATTTCTCAAACCATAGATACAGTAACTAAATGCTTAGAATGTAAAACCATTTTTTTTTTACCCTTTTGTTTCATTCACTTGAGAAATTTTACACTGTTCAAATTCTTGTTCAATGACATGTATGAGACTAATGGAAAATAGTGCCGAATTATCTTGTAGTTAGCATGAGGAGCAAACATATTATTTTATATGCTAACTATGAGTATACTCATATGAATTTACTTATTGCTAGAAGTAATCTGTTATATCTATACTTAAATAATAAAATAATGGAAAATAATTTAAAAGCATAAAATTGCAGATAGGATTTCAGTGCACGTGAAAGAAAGCACCTTATCAGCTTCGGCAGTGAACATGTTAATTACTTATTCAAAAAACATTTATGCCTGAAAACAGGAAGAAATATAATATTTTCTACCACCATTATGGAATAGGATCACTACAGTAGTATAAATGTAATGGTAAAGAATAAAGATCTATGAACACACTCCCTTGCACACGTTCATCAAAATCTGTGTGTATAAAGAAATATAGACATGAAAGCCTTCAATCCCAACTAGAGCTTTTTAAAAATGCCTATAGATCTGAAATTTAACAGATGACAACATTGCTCAGCACTGAATGAAGACATTGGCTCACTAAATTTTCTAATTTGAACCACTAACAGAACATACAGATTACCTTTGAAAAAGGACAAAAATTTTCTTCCTAGAGATTCCGCTGTTTTGGAGATTATATATTCATCTTGGAAAAAATGGAACTTACTCTTAATTAATCACTTTATTGGCAGCATGTAATCCTATTTTTGCATATATATGTGTGAAGAATTAAGAAAGTGTAATCCTATTTTTGCATATATATGTGTGAAGAATTAAGAAAGTGTAATCCTATTTTTGCATATATATGTGTGAAGAATTAAGAAAGTGTAATCCTATTTTTGCATATATATGTGTGAAGAATTAAGAAAGTGTAATCCTATTTTTGCATATATATGTGTGAAGAATTAAGAAAGTGAATTATATGGATTAAGATAAGTCACACTTCCCAGCAATGTTAAAAGTCAGTTATTCATTTTTCCCTAAATATTTACTGTAACAAATTTCAGTTTTGTCTCATAGTATAGTTTTCTGTTGTATGCACTTCTAGCACAAAGTTTAACTTGTACTTTTAATATTGTGATGCTGTGTATCACTGAGTCGATTCACTCAATTTCATTCAATAGCTTTTGAGAAATGAACGCTAGATAAGTTTACATACGTAACGAAACATGGTATGAATGATTTCCACTAATGAAAGTTACCTGCATTCAATGATTCTCTATTTTGATGTTCCAAGATCTAAAGCCACTAAACATGGTAGATTCAATATAAAAATTAAACAATTCTCTATTGAAATTATGTGTACATATTCTGCTAAACAGACACCTATCTACAGCAAAACTTTTCACTAGTCAATGCACAAATGACATTTTTTACAACTCTAAAAATATGCATGTAATGCATAGATTCTTAATTAACCATCTATATTTACACAAAATCCATAAATACAAAATTGGAAAATATTAAAATACTTAACGTAAATTATATGCATATATAATTAGAAATTTTAATTTTATTATTTAAGCATCAATAAACCTGCTAAGATATTTTTGAAAAGAATATTTTAAACCATAAATAATTGTATGAAGAGGGTATTAGAATCCATAAAGCATATATGAGGTTTATGGATTCTGATTTTCCAATTTATACAAAGAAAAAAAATTATTATAATTCTAGATACAAACAAATACATTTATAGTTAACTCATCACCAAAAACAATGTAGTAAATTTCTGTGAAGATTTCTGTCTATTTAATTATATTATTATTTATAGTATTCTGTAATTATTTAATTATTTGTTAATTTCTGCATTTACGGTAACAGTTTTGGCGTTTATTCCGTGTTTAGCTGAATTGGTGCCCATATGTTTTGTAATCAATATTTGTTTGCTGTCCATAATTGTTGAAATCTTTTAAATCTGAATCTAATAATGTTAAAATTGCAAAAACAGCTCACAGCAAAATCGCTTCTGACAGGACTTGGAGATAATTTTTGTTGTTAAGTAGTGAGATTGGACAAATTTTTGTCAATTTGGCAATTTTTTTCGTAGTCTCAGGAAAATGTACTTTCAGAGTGCCAGAAGCAGTTTTTTTCAAAGTTTCCAGAAGCCTGTGCAGCATCATAAAATTATGGCTTATAATATCATAAAAATATAATACTATCATAAAAATACGGCTAACACTGTTTTATCCTGGCTAAGCCAGGACAAAACAGTGTAACTCAGGTCTGAGAGACTGCAACACAAAGACAGTCAGCTGAATTGCATTTCTGAGTTTACTCTGTGAGTGATATCAGGAATTTATAATATTTCTCATGTGGTAAGAAAGATTTACATAATACCCTCATTACCCTTGAGCTATTTACAGGTATTTATTGTACTATGAATAATTTATTATTTATAAAATGTCAAATTTCATCCTGCTCATGCAGAATGATTATTTAGAGATTAAATGAATCTGTAGCTCTTAACAACTTGTGTCAAAAATGTGGATCTCTTCAAATGGAGGTAACTAAGATGATGGAAGAGCAGCTAAAAGTCATGTTGCTGCCAGCTGAAATGATTGCTAAATAAGAAAGTAGACTTTATAAACAAAAAATGAGAAAGATGCAAAGTATTAATAAAGAAGTATCTGATAATACTGACAAACTGATAAAGAAAACAAAAAGAAATGAAAATTCTGAAACTGTTTCAGTCTGTAAACCAGGTGCCAGCTCAGCCTTCCAAGACTAATGCCCCAGCTCTGCTAGTAAAACAATACGGGATAATCATGTCATCCTGTAAGTAACCTCTTCCTATACAATGGAAAATCATTGTAAAATGTATACAAAACACAATTTGAATTGATTTTCCCAGGTCCCGCCTTGTCACCGAAACATTAAATTTGGGTTCTTCTCTCTTCTTCAGAGAAGCTGCTGATATATTACAAACACTTTCAGCTGAGGATGTTGACATCACAGGTTATCCTACATTACTGCAGATTCGATGAAAATTTCTCAAGGATTATCACTGACTAGCAGCTTCGCTGCCAGCCTTCGTCTGGCTTTTAAATGTACCGGAAAAATGGCTGAAGGGAACACCAAACGTTAAATTTAAAAACTACGTAGAATTTTACTCTGTAGAACAACTTCATAAAAAAAAGTTATTATGTATAACAAAATTACAATGAAATAAGCAATATCCCTTAATACAGATATTAATTATATTAATAAATAAATTAACCAACTTCCCTTTGCAAAATCTTAAGAACTCAAATGGTATAAAGGAGGTTAAGAACTTCGTTTCCTAAAAAAAATCACTCAAAACTTTTCAGTATCTTAAAAACAGTTAAATGAGCAATAAATAACATAAAAGAATACAAAAAAACAAAATATTCTGAAAAGCAAAGTATAATTAATGATATTTTATCTTATATTTTCAATAGAAAAAAAATTACAATGAAATAAGCTATATCCCTTAATACAAATATTAATTATCCTAATTAAA